ATCAGGGGGTTCTGATAGCGGGCTCGAAGTTACCGACAGAGGACTGCTCAGAGGACTTGTGACTCCGTTACTAACAGTCCGTGCGGAAGTCGGAGGTGGTGTTTGAGCCTCCCGAGCCTTGCTAGTGGAAAACGTAGCCGCATTGCGTATCCCTTCAGAATAATGTTCATACGGTAGAATGACACGGATGTAGGAGTTTCGCAGTTGAGTTGACAAGCCAGGAATTCCTCCATAACCAAGCAGGCTTCCGAGATTGGCCCATTTCTTTCCTTTGTTAACCTGATTAATAATTGACTTCTTTTAGCTTGCTAGATGGTTTAAAATGCAGCTTATACATACGGTTTCAAAACCTCCCAGCTTTTGAACCTCCTTTCTCAATGACCATAGATCCAATGGCTTATGATTGATAGTCGGTACAGTCACACGGGGATTTCCTTGTTGTCTGTGGAAACGATATAGAGCTTCCAAAAAATTGATCTTGGCTCGAGACGAGGCCTCGATGGAATTGAGACGCATCGCACGTGTCTTGAAGCGGTAACTCTACGACAATCAGGTAAATTCCTGTCATTATTCATGTTCCACTGAAAAGTAGTAGATACGCACTTCAGTATCCGTTACGAAGGGCATGCTCCAACCGATAGGCGGGACAACCTTGGCTATTCCGTAGGGTTGTGCCTGAGGGGATATGGATCGAATGTAACTCATCGGGTCCTTGAACTCTTCTGGTGAGGGACAGAATATCGGGCAGTCTTCAAGGTCAAACGGCCTTGGTTTTGTGCGGGGAGAAAGATTCCTAGGACTAGCCGTCTTTACAGTCAACATATCTAGAGTAGAGGAAACCGAAATCGGAGCAGTGTTTAGGAACGATGTAGCGGGAGCCTGCTCCGAGGGCGCGGGCTTGACTTCCTCGACAGAAGGAGACCGAGAGCGATTAAGTGCGGCTAAGGCGTCCGTTTTGGACTTACGGGGTGCACGCCGATCTTCCCCGGCCGGCAGCGAGGATGAAGCAGTCCTAGGCACTGTTCCAGTTGACTTCTCGATGGGAACGGTACCTTCTACTGCAATTGAGAGCGAGGAAATAAACGTAGCTTCCGGCTTGTTGGAAGCAGTATCCGACACATAAGAGCTATGGCCAGGACTAGCCGGTACTGTGGCGGAGACGGAACGACCACGACGAGAAGGTGTTGTCCTTCTCGGGGGCGTTTGCGGGGACCCGCTCGACATGATGCTTGAGCCTCCTGCCCCGCCGAAACGATTGTCCAGTGGGCCCAATGCGTGAATGGGAGCACAAAAGATGTGAGAGAAACCGAGGTGGCCAAGTGGTGGCCGTACAAGGTAGAGTTTACGAAGCCGCAGGGTGCTGTCCCGTTTAGGCCCTATGCTTCCATTTATGTGGCGTGAAAGAAGCTCAGTGTGTCTCCCAGCCACAAAATCTCTACCTCATGCCCAGCGCGTGTCTCCCCAACGAAATATTGTACTACTCGCCTGCTTCTTGTCATTTTGTTCTGCTGAAATTTTAGTGACAGAAATCGATAGTTTTTCTCGTTTTTGGTACTCTTTGCCGAGCTCGCCCAAATTCGGAACGGTAGATCATATCGAACTTTCCAGATTTGACTCAATGCACTTCCGTTTTCGTAAGCGACAGCAACTCATCCGAAAAAGGCAGGAACGCCTGTCAAATTCAATTACTGCTAATAACGAACGGTTCAATTAGTGAAATCGAGAATAATACAGATTATTGCTAAATGAATGAGCGACTCCATGCGATGTTTTAATACAAATGCGGGTAAGCGGGTACATAGGGTATAAGCAAGTGGCGAAAGCCACGACAGCCAACCACGATCGAGACCATGTCCAAAGCCAAAAGAAATAGAAAGAAAAGACATCGAGTCACCCACGGCCTACTTCTTCCCTGCACGTAATTGAGCCCGAAGATTCGCATTCTCTCCCTGCATATGATTCAACTCGTCCAGGAGAGCAATGCTCTGAGACGCCTCAGCTGTTCGCATTGCAGTAATATCTTCCTGTGCCCTTTCGAGCTCAGCTTTGCATTCTGACAACTGCCTCTCAAGTTGGTTTCGGATCGCCTCGGGAGCTGCCGCAGCTTCTTCCGCGAGCGATAGCGTCTTGGCGCTGAGTGTGTCATTGGCTTCCGAGAGCTGCCGACAAGTTTCTGCCTGCTCTGCAGCCTGCATTTCCACGTCACGCTTCTCGATCAAGACTTTGTCGATGGCGCCTTGTAATTCTTGAATTTCATTTTGTCTGCAATGAGGCGTTCAGAAAATACTCGTCATCAAATCAGCAGACAAGAATAGACGTACAAAGCAGTCACATTTGATCCCAGAACCATGTTGCGATCTTCAAGCACCTTTACCTGCTTCTGATAAGTCTCCAAGGCAACACTGCTTTCTTGTGCGAGCTTCTGAGCGCGCTCAGCATTCTTCCTGAGCAAGTCGTGTGCTTGCGCAAAGCGGACCAAACGTTCGATCAGAGCGCGGTCGTCTGCGATTAGAGCTTGTACTCGAGCGGCAAGCGCTTCCACAGAGAATTGATACGATGTGTCAACAATTTGATACGCCGGTCGTCCGTCATACAACGTCTTCAGTAACCGAACGTCAAGTTCTGAAAGAGACATATTCGGACTTCCTGGTGCAGAAATAGGCGATTTTGTACGTCGACCAAATTTCGAAGCCCGAGATTCGGGAGAAGGCAAAGCATTCCACACAGGTTTAAGTAACTCGATGAAATCTTTGATGTCTTGAGGAGCATCGCTGTAAGAAATCGACTTCATTGATTCGGCCGGAGTCATCGCCTGCTCCTGGAGTTTTAGAAAAAAGGGATTCAGAGAACAGTTAGAGACCATGAGAGAAAGCCACTCACTCGGAGTCGTCCCTCTAATATGCGCGCCTCCTTCCGGGCTTCTTCGCGGTCTTGTCGTGCCTCCTCGACTTCCTGAACAAGCGCTTCGCGCTTATCCAAGCCGACGCGGACCTCCTCCTCCAGCTTATGTCGGATGGACTCCCATTCGTTTCTCTGCGTCTGTTGCGCATCAAGCCTCGAACGGACATCATCCAAATGGGTCTCAAGATACGAAACTTGTTGCGACAGCGATACATTGTTTGGCAAGTTGAGGCCATGATTCCGCATCAAATTCTGCAGGGCACCCAGTGCCGATTCAAGTTCCAGCACGCGGATTTCGATGCCGACCGCTTCACTGCTCTTCTCTTCCATCACTTCGAGACGTCGTTCAAGTGTTTCGATCTCTCGTTGTTTTATCTCCTGCTCCCTGTCCCACTCCTTCTGTCCTTCTGCCATTTCCCTCAGTTGAGATTCCAGTGTGCCGACTTTCTCCACCTCGAACCTCATACTCGACATCTTCTCTTCTGCGGCCTGAAGCTCCAGGGCGAGAGATGTCTCAAGTCCTTCCAATTCCAGTTTTAACATGGATGCTTCCCGTCTTGCGTTGTTTTGCGCGTCCGTCGCAGCCTGCAGCTTTCCAGTAACGTCCTTCACTTTTCCCTCGAGAAACGCATACTCGGCTGCCGAAGGAGGCTTGCGTGGTGATAGAGGTTGAAGTGCATTCTCATGCCCCGAAAAGAGGTGAGGCCCTTCAAACTTCGTCTTGCACGAAGAGTAACTGGTTTCTGATGATGTCGGACTCATCTGAGAATTTCGGATCAATGTGCTGTACCCAGACTCGTCCGTATCGCCAGCGACTTTGGCCTCAAGATTTCGCAGAGAAAAACTCAGGACACCAGCACGGTGCTCGAGCAGCTTCCTGTTAATCTCGTTTGACCGCTCTGAGATACGCCATAAATCCTTTTGAACAGACTCGACTTTACGGTTTGCGGTCTCGAGCTGTTCGGACGATTGCTTCGAGACGGTCTTGTGAGCGGCGTTCACTTTAGCAAGCGATGAGGCAGCGTCGCGAATCTTCGTTTCGAGCTTCAACTTTTTCTCCATCGCGCCCTGCCGAGCTTCTAACACTTGATATTCCTGTTACCTCACCTCAAATGAGACGAGGCAAGGATGAAAGATAATCTTAAGAAAACGCCACCTTCTTAAGCTCCTCCACATCCTCAGAATTAAGAATGTCAAATTCCCGACTCTCCACGATTGCCTCGCTCGCTAGTAAGCTCATCAGTAGCTCATCTCGCGTGTCTACCGTGCCAGAAGCGCGTTTCCACGCCCTGAGTTGTGCAACACGACTGGGAACCGGCTTGGATGGAGATGAAGGTCCAGCCAAGGCATTTGGTGACCGCAATGCAGACGTTGGAGAAGATCCGGGAGAGGATACGGGAACGGGTTTTTGGGGAGGCGAGGACATAGAAGATCCCAAAGACTGCGGTCGGGAGTCGTTTTCCAAAGAGTTCTGCCTGCTGACGAAGGATTTTGATAAACCTCCATTCACGTAGGCAGCTGACGTGTTGGTCGTGCTACTGGAAGCACTGTCTGGTCGACCATTCGGGTAACCGTTCGTGGTCGCAGTCGTCGAAGTGGGCGGCCATGACGGCTTCGAAGAGAGGGCCAACGGCGCTGTCGTTTGAAAAGGTGGTTGCGGAGGAGGCTCCGTTGACACAGGGATCGACGTCGGAGGCGATTGGGAGCGCTGTGTCGCCCCTCCGAGTAGACGACGGACGCCGTTCATAGGAAGAATATGTTTTCGTCGAGGTCGAGTAGCTGCGGCTCCTGGGTTGCTGTGACTGTGACTATGATACATTCTAGTTATTAAAAATAGACTCTCCGTGACGTGGGCGATCGACTAACTTCCACGAGGTATTGAGTCACCCGAAGAAAAACAATTTGTATAAAGCTTGGATCCCCATCAATTTAAGAGGTTGACTAACTTTCAATGGTTTTAAATTTGCGGGGCTTCTAATCCAAACAAAAAATAAGTGATCATTGGGACGGTTAATAATCACATAGGTCTTCCTGGAAAGACTCCAAAAGGTTCCGGTTGCTTGTGCTTTTCTAGATTGAGTAGAGAAAAAGTTTTCCACTACCCACGGCGAGACTCGAACTCGCAACCTCCAGATCATTACGTAATAGAAGTCTGACGTCATAACCATTAGACAACGCAGGCTGTACTAAAGCATTGTGATAAAAACCCTTCATATCAAAATGTTTTCAAGGCTGATGGGAAATGCTTTTGCTAGTGGAAAATGACACGATCGCTGATGGAAACTTTAATTCTAAGTTCACTCGGCATGCCTTCGGCACATCATGTGTAAACGAACAATTCGGCTGTAGCCGCTGTGACTTTACTGTGACTGATGAAGCTCTGACTTCTTGCAAATGATGTTGATCGACATGGACATCCGGAAAGAAAAACATATTCTTGAACCTGTCTAATGTTTTATTTTTCCTCATGGCAGCTTGAGATTGGGACAAGTCAGATTTTATTTGCCAATAGAATGGATTTGTTTCGTCAAGTTTTGGGCATGAAAGATAGGATGTGAACAGGTATCTACGGTGCTGAGACTCTATTTCCGTTTCAGGATGTCCATGTCGATCAACATCATTTTCTGCACTCACCTTCGTCACGTCTCCGGCACCTTTGATGCCGAGAGGCTTCGGCAATTTCGGCAGCCTACAGCTCGCTTAGAGCTGATGGAAAACGTAAGTTGCATTTGTGTAATATGAAACGCATTTTCCATCTTCTCCGAAAACACTCTAATGGCAGGAATAAATGAGCCTGGATTCTTCGAGGGAATTGAAATTCTTTATCGAGGATCCTGCTTCAATCCTTCGTCTCAATCCGAGACGTGATGAAGTTTCTTGAATATTGAGTTCATTTCAGAGTATCTGTGTGCTGTCAGGATTTTTCGATCTTGACAGGGCGTCTGTCCAGCCTTTTCAAGCCGATCGTCCCGAGACGCGTTGCTCTCTGCAATTGACGCACACATCGAAACACTCCGAAAGTGCACTTACGCTTCCTACTTACACCTTAAGCCTGGACTCTTGTTCACTTATACAAAGGAGTGCGCTTTCTATGCAAAATGTTTCAGAGATCTTAACGAAAATCTATGATTTTTGAAAACGCTTGGGCTCAAGTTTCTTGAAGTTCTCCTTCGATTGTGAAATGTCATTTACCTTCCAGTGGCCAAGATTTTCCGACCAATTCCATGCAGACGCTATTCAGCTTCTCGATGCTGCACTTAACAAAGGAAACAAGCCGCCAGTCATAGCGGACAAGATTGAGGTTGTTGAGTTGGAGATGGGGACTCAGGTGCGTGTGTGCCACACATCTCGTGCCGGTCTGCTAATTCTCACAGATCTTGTAGCCTCCGGAGCTTGAGATTAGGGACATTGGAGATCTTACGATGAATCAGTTTCGAGGCATATTCCGCCTGACGTATAGCGGAGACGCTCACATTGTATTGCGGACAAAGGTTCAGGTGCGTCTTTTCGCGTGCCACTTGTGTCGAAACCTACGAGTAACATTCACCCAGGCCAACCCGTTGTATCACAAGAAACCGGACATTCATCTAATGGGAGGATCCAGGGGCATGTTAGCTGCAAACCAGCCGCTCATCGTACCCATGCTTCTTCGTTTGTCGAACTTCAAGCTCAATTCTTACGTTGTCCTGGTTGTCTCAAAACCTAAGGGTATCACTCTCGTCTTCAAAACGGATCCACTTCAGAATGTAGATATCCACAGCACATTCGATTCCATCACCGTCATCCAGAAATTCATTCAAAAAGAGATCGAGGGTCAGCTTAGGCAGATGTTTCGTGAAGATCTTCCTGGCATCATTCATCGACTCAGTCAGCAGTGGATCAAGAAGTCGACTACCGTGGAAGCTCCATATTTGTTGAAACGACCTTCCATGCAGCATTGGGCAGGTACGGAAACTATGTCTAGTCCAGACATCCCTCTGGCACGTCGGCCTATGTCTTCTGGCCTCCATGGGCAAGGTCCCGCGAGACCCCCTCTGAGCCCGCAGCGGCGACTATCCACTTCACGGAGTGTCTCAGCGAAACCCTCTCTTCCCAATCTTCACGCTTCATCCGACATTCCAGAATATTCCTACGATCACGACATTGGCTCTTTCACCACGGAGGTCCCCGAGCGAAAAGCCTTCAGTCACTTAGGCCGCATTCACCGCGAGAGCAGGGGTTTAGCCGACCTTGCGGAGGAAGAGAGCGACTTCGACGGGACCGATGGGGCCGGCTCTTTCGACGTGGTCGATTGGGATGACGCCATGACAGACATTGTAGACGGCCGCCCGATGTCTGAGATAAACGTGACCGAGTATGAGAGTATTCCTGCGGTTGGTGGGGGCACGATCACGCGTCCGCGCGTCTACCATGCCTCGTCGCTACTGCATTCCAATGCCGGGACTCCTTCTCACTCGAGGGCACCCTCCTCGGCGCAGCTCACTTCGCCTGCCCTTCAGCGCTTGTCGCAATCCCTTGCAAACGTTCGACAGCCATCCGTGTTGGGGCCATATAGAAATCGACCGTCAATGCCCTCCTCTATGCGTGACAGCTGGGATATCTCGTCTGTGCAAGGAGATTTGCCTTATCCTGAGCCAAAGATAGCGGTGAATTCTCAACGAACGACTGTAGAGGATGACTTAGACGACTATCCATTCGAAAATGGAAATACTGCAGACATTCCTGCGCTCACTCGGCATGAAAGCGTCACTACCACCCAGTCCAGTTCCTCTTCCGTTCCTTCCTCTAGTGCCGTGCAGCTCGACGCGAGCAGTACCACTGCATTCGAGCGCTCCGGCCGACGCGCGTCCGTCTCCTCACACCTTACGTCGCCTTTCTCCACAAACTCCGACTCCGCCGATCCGGACGGGGTTGTACCGAAGATTGTACTGCGACCGGGAATCAACAACGCAATCTCGCAGCTCTCGCTCCTTAACCGCTCGAACCACACACTTTCTCCATACACACGCACGCTCGAGCACTTTACGATACGCAGCGTGCCGCCGAAGGCGTTGGTCGCCCGTGGGAACGCCGCTCCCGCGGACCGCCAACCCGTCAAGGCGAAGCGTAAACGCACGTACCGGCTCGGTGGAACACCTAAGGGGCAGGATCAGACACAACAGAATATTCCAGTTCTGCAACCTGAAACTACTGGTCCGACTTCTCCGCGTTCGCCATTGTCTGCTGCCTCGGATTTCGACGTGTCCGAAATCGACCGCTATTTCCGCTCGCGTGACGACTTTCCACCCCAATTTCACAATAACGTCAACCTAGAACCTCCACTCTTGAATCCATCATATGCTCGGCGTCGTTCATCACATCGGAAACTGTAGGACACACTGTATAATACATATATAATTACTGTAGCTGTTAATGATTACAACACTCGCATTGCATAGACTATTGCTGATAGTAAGTCGGATTCATTGGGAGACTGGGATCGATTGGTAGTGGCCGATGAGGAGAGGGAAAGGTTAACGGAGGTGGAGGGGAGGAAGACAGATTCAGCGGAACAATAGACGATGGCCCTTGCTCGAAGTCCTGTAATGATGTCAAAAAAGTGCATCCACAGAATAAAACAAAGAGCGACTTACGTCCACATGCATGCTTGGCAAGCGGCTCGTATTCTGTCTGGATGCGGAAAGCTGACGCAACTGGCGAAAGTCGTTATTTAAGTACGTCTTCGTCAGACCTTTCACCTCTGGTGACCTCAGCAGCGCGTTCGGCGGGGACACCGTGACCATACCAAGCATTTCAGCGGATTGCGCGGGAGACCTCCGCGTCGGTGTTGATGGTATAGGTACAGGTGGGGCGAGAAGTTCCTCCCACTGATCGAGCGGTAGCGTAAAGTTGTACGCCATGGGAATAAGCGTGGGTGGAGAGCGCGGTGTGCCCGCAACTGCCCAGCGTGTCTTCATGGCATCTAACTTCGTCTTCTCGCCGACGGGTAGTATGTCAGCTGTCCATCGTAGTATGTTTCCGAGGGATTGTTCCGTTAGTCCGCGAAGGACAAGCATACCAGTACTATTGTCAAGCGGCGTAACGCTTTCAAGGACCTGGAAGAGTGGCTCTGCCAGATCTGGGAGGACGTGCCCGTCGTTGATTGACTTGGATATTTGCTCGAGGCTTTCGCCGAACTCCTGGGCGTTCTTCTCGTTGAAAAGCGGTATCTTGGAATTGCGGAAGATGCGAGGAAGTGCATTAAAAACATACATTCGGCCGCAGCGGGTCGCCCGGAAGAGTACCGACGCAATCAGCATCCATAATTCTGGTTCAGCCTCTGAAAGTTGTGTACTGAGTGAGATCGCCAAGCTCTCGATGCCTTCGTACATAAAGTCGGTCTCCAAGATTGAGCTCAGATTCGACAGCAATATCTTCGCGTTACCATCGTCGTTCGAAAGCGTGTCAGTCGCCCATTCAGATAAGTTCGACGTGCTCCGCATGAGTGCGGAAAGGACGTTGATCGAGCTCGTAACTTTCCAATGGGCCATGCGCTGATGCAGTGAGTCAGCGCTAGAATTTCGCACAAGTGTTATGGCCCTCTCCAAACTCTGTTGTTCCTCAAGTAGTAGCCATTCCGCCACGCCCACACCTGCATTGTCTAGGTCCCTGAAGCGTCGCATAAGATGCACCCGATTGTCGCATTCCTGCAGTGCATAGAACGCGTGCAGCTCGGATAGGACCGCTGGAAGTACCTGTCGGACCCATAGACGCTGACCATCTTCATGTCCGGGACCCCACGCATCTGCTTGCCTGAACGGCAACATGTGATCAAATAACCAGAATACCTGCGTTGTGTGATGTACGGCGTCGTGAGCGTTCGGCGCAGCAGCGTGTGCAAAGAGTGCTCTAAGAACGGACGCCGCGGCCTGAGATGTAGACGTACGAGGGACGATAAGTGCGGAAAGTATGGATACACATGACTGCCGAACAGCGTGAGCAGCGGTGCAGACTGCACTTTCCTGCGCGTAGATCATGTCCGCAGAATCGGTATAGACGAATATGTCTGTAGATGAACGCGTCAACGACAAGAGGTGGCGACTAGACACGGGGTAAACCGGGAGCAGGTGCAAAAGGAGACCAAAAAGATTGTCGCAAGTTTGGAAAATCGCTGCAATCTCTTTTTCTGATTTGTGTAACGGG